TTACATTTTCCTTAACTGTATTCACTATTTTCCCATAATTTGACTAATCTTTGTATAACTAAAGCAGTATCTACATTTTATTGATGTGGGCTAAAATGTTACCACTAATTAACATATGCAATCTAGGATCAGAATTTAACCCTTACTCTGGTAATGTTATTAATGTGGTAGAGAGAAAAGAACAGAACTTGACATCACAAGATTTGGATTTCAATTTTAGCTAAATCATCTTGTAGCTGTAGCATGTTTATTTACATTAGTAAAAAATACTATATTGTAATTAATATTTACGGGACGTTTACTCTGTCAGGCACCATTCCAAGCACATTACAGGTTTTGGCTCAATTCTCACAATAGACATAGGTGGTTGTTACTATTGGTCTCTATCTATGAGGTAGATACTAGTGTCATTTTTCAGATAAGGGAACCAAAAGGGAGGTCAGCCGACAGGCCCCATGTTAGAAAGTTAATTGAAGGGATGCATTGCCATTCAAACCCAGGCAGTCAGCTCCCAGCATGCACAGCTTTAACCACTAGGCCACACTGCATCTCTAGCTTGGGGTGCCTCCATTGCCTTCTGAGGATAATAGTACTCCACAGGATTTTTTGTGAGGATCAAATGATGTAAAGAATTTTAAAATACCTGCTATTCAAGGACTATATAATTAATATAGACAAAATTTCCTTCTCCGTGTATTTTAAATAAAATGTTCTCCCCCTTATGACCTTTATTTTTTAAAAAGCAGTTCAAACTGTAAATTATACCATTCTGTTGTGTTCTTTGGGGAGAGAAAGGTGTCAAAGAGAGGAAGCAAGTGAGAGTAAAACTTCACTAAAACTAAAAGCAAGACAGCATAGCAAAGTGGAATCATTTCAATAGACTCAAGTATAAAGATTCCATGCAGAAAAGACTTTTACATAATATCCTTGAATACTAAAAAGACAGAACGTTATGAAACATCTGAGAGTTAATATCAAAAGATCAATGGATTAAGTGTTATCTAAATATATTTCAATTCAACAGAAACTTATGTAATCTCAATGGGAAACTTCTGATTTTGGCAAAGGTTTTCAAGCTTTCCTTTCTTGTTGACAGAGATAAATTTGGATTTGTGTGGGCTAAATGTAGACTAGATTATTTTTTTCTAGTTAATATTTACTAGTTTCATTATAAAAATTACATGAAAAAATTACAGTGAAGTTCTTTTTCTATTGTCAACAATAATGAAAGCATCATTAGTAACTACAACTGTACAGTTTTATAATTAAATACATTCTAAATGCCTTCCTAGCTAACTAGCCAACTCTCAAAAAGTTATCACCTAACTATACAAATATTTATAATTCTAAATATTTTTATTTATGCCCATAAACTGTTAAACACATAATATCTATCTGTACTTTACCAACTATAATTTGGTAGCTTTAAGATTTTTTTCCTCCTACTTTGCACTAATAATTCAAAAGGTGAAAAAAGTTATCCGTGTTAGTACCATTCAGACATATTTTCATGTATGGAATTAATGATTTTAGAAAGACCTAAAAATGAAGGGGTAATAGGCTAATGAGGTGAGTCAAGAGACTTGGGTTGTAGTCATGCAAAAGTAAGATTAAGTAGCTGAATGGGCAAAATTCCCATGTGCAATCAATGGAAATGGAAAAAAAGATCTTTCAGAGTCTTTTTTCTGTTAAAAATAGTATCCTCAATCCAAAGCCCAAAATCTTCCTTAATTAAAAGATTACTGGTCACAGAACATTAAGCTAGACTTTAATTAGTAAATGTGCTTACTTTTCTGCCATGGATTAGGACCTGAATTCTTATGAAGCACCTACTTTAAGAGGTCAAATCACTGATATAATACTAAACAATGCTGTTGATAAATGTCATCCTTTATTTTATACTAATGACAAAAAAACTTCCTTGGAAATTTATGTTAAACATTTTCATTGGATGAGCTATAAAGGCAGGATGAGTCCTCCTACATTTGGGAGTCCTGGAAGGTACAGTGCTGCCTCTACCATCAGCTAGCTGTGGGACTGTGGACAAGTCATTTCACTGCCTTAGCTCCTGCTTCTTCATTTTAAAAATAAGGACCATGGCCTAGATGGTCTGTACTTCCCCTCTCATACTCTATTCGCCCAGAGCGACAGAGTTGTCTATATCAGAATTCTGTATTCCAAATATTCTCTTTTGTTCTGGGTCTAACATCCCCATAAAAATAGTGAAAGAATATGAAAACATGCCAGTTTATGCTTTGAGCTCTAAAGGTGTTAAATAACTTGGTATGTCAAAAGGTCTAAGCACTTAGGGTAAAAGAACTATAACAAAATACTTTCAGTTACATGGTTTATAAATGTACCTAATACCTAACATCAGTTTATATTTTATGATAAGACAGGTATGGGTAAACAGGAACGAGCCTAGGGGGCAGCCTTTTGACTGGGGGCTGGGGTGGGGGCTCTAACTTAAGTTTACACAACAAAGGTTGTGATAACAAATTTAACCACACCTTCCCCCACCCCAATGGGCAAAGCTGAACACAACAGAAAATGCCACTACAGATTACATCCTGGTTAGAAAAGTATAAAATCCCAGCTAAACAGAAACTCAGGGCAGCTGTCTACACTCTGCCCCACCCACAACCCCCAACTCCTCTGCCAGTCTTTCTCTTCTTAAACAAACTTTCTAATTTCTATTCCTCTGTGCCTCCTGAATTCTTTCACAACCCACAAACAAGTGATCATGACATTTTAGATGTCTATTTTCTTGGGGATTATTCCCCCAAGTATTATTTCAAGTCATTATATATGCTAAGCGTGAAATATGCTTATTTAACACAAGGTTTAACAATGACATTATTGACATTTGGGGCCTGGCAATTGTGTGGGACGCGGTCCTGTGCATTTTAGGATGTTTAACAGCATCCCTGGCCTCCACCCACTGGATGGACCAGCACCAATCCCACAAGGGGTGGCAACCAAAAATGTCTCCAGACACTGTTCCAGATAATGTCCCCCGGGGGGTAAAATCCCCCAGGCAGAGAACCACAGATTCAAATAACAATTCTTCATTTTACAAAAATAAGTCTGAAATGTCCACTTCCACAGCTTAAAACCACCTTAAGAAAAGTGCTAACCTAGGTTAGAAGGCAGATGCTGCTTCTCTGAAGGGAAGAAATAGACAAAAGATCTAAAGGCCTATCCTCACAACTTGATCAAGAGTGGAAAAGCAAACAGAAGCGTGCGTGGTAAAGAACTCGATGAGACTACCTCTTTATCTTGACCGTGAACTAGGTGTATTCGAAACAAAGCACATATATGTTTATGAAATGTGTGATTTCAAATAGGCAGGTTGAAATCATCAAAAGCAATCAATTCTGCAGGCATTTTCAGGTAAGACTTAAAACACCCCTGAGCAGCTCGGACACCCGCCCGGAGCCGAGTGGCCAGCGGGGGCCCCCCGGTGCCGGGTGCGGGCGCCGAGCTCCCGCCACGCCCACCGGACGTCATCCGTTACACAACGCACCCCCCCACACACACGCACACAGCTTATGCAATTCTGCCCTCCCGCGGCTTCCAAATTGCCCCAGTGACTTTTGTGGGAGACAAAGGTAAACGTTGCCCGCCTAGCCTTAGCTGGGGGTCCTCTCCCCGCCCCGGCTGTCGTTTGCGGAGCGGCCAATTACCGGAAAGAGTGCGGCAGGAAGAGAGCAGCCGCTCGGGCTCGCCCAACTCCCACCCATCCCGCGCTCCGGCGGCCTCGCCGGAGCCCCCACTCCGCTCGAGACGCGCCTGCCAGACCGCAAGGCCGCGGCCGAGGGAACCCCGCGCCTGTGCGCCCCTCCCCGTGCCGCGTCACAGTCGGCTCCGACGGCGATCCCCATTGTGACCGAAGCACCCCGGGGCGCCGCCCCCTCCCATATCCTCGAGGAGCCCGAGACCCGACACAGGGGAGTCAGGCAGCCTTGGGGAAGCAGAGGCGCCTCCCGGGGGCTCAGACGAGCTCAGAGTAGCTATCCCCTCCGGACAGGAGGGTGGGGTCGGCCGGGTTCGCGCCGCATCCCCGCGCAGTCACCTGCTCGCAGCGCCTCGCAGGCGGCGGCCAGGGCCTCCCGGTAGCGCCCCTGGTGCAGCAACTCTCCGAGCCGGCCGGCCGCCCGGGCTCGCTCCTGCTGGCCCGGGAACCACTTCTCGGCCAGGTGGTTGAGGACGACGCTGGTTCTGAAGCCCGAGGCGATGGCGGCGGCCAGAGGCGGGGGCCGCGGGGTGGTGCCCTCAGCATCGGCGGCGGCGGCGGCAGCGGGTGGCAGCCGGTCCCGGCAGAGGCGGCAGCGGGCGCGGAGCTCTCTCCGCAGGCAGCGGCGACAGTAGCTGTGGCCACATGGTACGGTCACCGGCTCGCTCAGAAAGTCCCGGCAGCCCAGGCAGCTGAGCAGCCCACTGGCACCGGTGTCCGCGCCCGCTGCCGGCGTCGCGCTCCAGCCCAGCCCATGGCGGAGCCGGTAGTTGAGCACCAGGCAGTCCACCAGGGTGCCCAGGCACTCGGGCCTGACCGGGGCCCCTCGGCGCAGCGCCGCCGCGTACGCCTCCAGCGCTCCCTTCAGGTGGCCGCCCAAAGCCAGCAGCTCGCCGCGGCGGAGCAGCAGCTCCCAGCACTCCGACTCTGCGGCCGCGCGCTCCAGCCGGTCCCCGCTGCCACCGCCCACTTCCCAGAACCGGCTTCGGCTCCGCGGTCTGGGGGCCATGTCCCGGTTCCCTCCCGGGGAGCTCCTCGCAACGACCGGAGAAGACATGGCCCGCCGAGGGCTGCTCTGCCGCCACCGCCCGCCGCCACTGTCCCGGAGCCTCCGGGACGCGCGGCTCCGCACGCGGCCCTCGAGCAGGGGGGCGTGGCGCGCGGACACGGCGGGGCGGCGCGCGCCCGGGAAGCCCCGGGGGCGGGGCCTTGCGTGCACGGGGTGGGGCCGGGCTCCGCTGGCGCACCCGGGACTCCCCCGCACCGCCGCGGGCCGGGTCCCCAGGGGGCCGACTGGCTGGCCCCGCCCCTCCCGAAGCCCCTCCTGGCGAGGGACAGGAGGTCAGATGATCCCCCAGCGGGGATCTAATTGGTTTCTCCCAAAAGAAGGGCCTGGCTTGTAACTGAACAAAGCCCGAAGGAGTCTATACCTTCATCGCCCTCGCTTCCCCGCTAGAAGCCCCCCACCTGCCACGGCTTCTCCCCTAATGCCTGCTTCCGGGGCGTTCTTCTGCCAAGAGGCTGGACTCGTGGGACTAAGGCCTAAATACCTGCCATTCCTCTCCTGACATACCCGCCCACCCGAGTTGGGACCCGCGCCCTTTGTGAGAGCCTCCGGCTGTAGTGTCTGGGTTGTCAGGTACAAGTCTGCATTTTCATTAGTTTGTGCCCAAGTTACAGATAGACACGTAGAGGCAGAGGGCCTAGGAATGCGCAGTCAGTCTGATGACTGTGACTCCTCAGGTCTAGAGTCGATCAACTTTAGAAATAATATAACCCCACCGAAGTTCCTGAGGTGACTCCTTCCAGAGGGCAAGACACTGTTCCGTGGTGCCAAGTTACTGCTTTCTTTGCTGTTTAAAACTCACCCCCACCTCAAGGGAGAAAGCCACGCGTTCCTGAGATGTAAGTTCTACTCTCCACATCTCATAAACTGCCCCACAGCTAGTAAAGACCTATATTTGGCGTTTTTAAAGAGTAAACACCAGGATGAATGCTTTTCATATGGTTGTCACCATATAACTAGAACCCAAGCAGAGTCAGCAGTTTTGCTAACAAAAAAAAGACCCGTTTTTGGTTTTTCTTTGTATAATAGGTTATGTTTTCTTTAAACTTGATGGCACTGTGTTTTAAAGCTCTCAGTTGAAATATTTACAGATTTGACTATAGGGTACTAGATTGTTAATGCTGGAAAGTGACTTAGAACTTTCAGTCCTTTGTTGAATGGTTAGAAACTGGCCCAGAGAGGGCAAGTAATATGCCCAAAATCACACAGCTAATATTATACAGAGGTTTTAAGATCACCTAGCTCTGATTCTATTATGTTACTATGTTAGAGCTTAGAAGTACTATTTTACAGGAGATTTTCAAAATAAGCTGCTAGATGGAATGTTAATCTGAGCATGCTATGTCTGAAATCAGCGAACATTTAACATCCATTTTTATACAGAACAAGTAGTTGAGCTCAAAACTGCTTTGAGTTACATGTTTTTACTACACAATGAGCAAATTGTGTAGCTTCAGAGGAGATGTAGATATATTGCCCCAAAAGGAACAAGGAAAAAGCTACCTGAGGAAAGGCTGAGGCTTTTGTTCCAAACAGGGTGCACAGGCAAACAAGTTTATCATTCACATCAAACCCGGAGCAAATTACAGCTAAGACCCAAGGAGCAACTTCTAGTCATTTGAGGTGGGGAATATTGGGATTTATTTATGTGCATAATCTTGAATCTAATTCTAACCCCCTAAATTACTACCTTCCTTCAATAAGCACAATGACTGTAGTCAGATGCCCACATACCCACTGTGACTTGAAACGGTGAATGATACAACATTGACCTTTGCGTTGCATTCCTGTCCTTAACAACAGCTAGCAAAACGTGCAATAGTAAATAGTAAATTATTGAGTAGTAAGTGTGTTCACGATTATACCAGTAGTGTAAGAAATTGTTGGACATGCATACATTATCAAATATAGTTTACATCAGGTTTTCTCATGCATGGTTCAGCAAATAATACACAGTTTCATTTGTCCTTTGGAGTTTCCCTAGTAAATGTGACAACCACATTTGAATCTGGTGTGAAATAAAATGGTACAAGTATAATGGGAAAGGAAAAAAATGGGACTGTAGGAGGAATCTTGCCGTGTTCTCCTTGGCGTTTGTGAATGGTTATAATTCATGTTTGCTGGTTTATACATTTACATAACTGGTTCTCATTTATGTAACTTATTTATGTAAGAGGTTGTACTGCCTCTGTGGCCTTTGTGTGCTGCACAATTTCCCTCTGAATCCGGAAGTCTGGGGCAAAACAATCACTGGCTCTATGACAGTTCACTCTTCACAGTCATCCTGTGCCACCAAAAGAGGATATGCACTCTGATGAGACTGCTTTTTAAATTCAGAGGAGAGAAAAATGAGTGTATCTCTTCGTTCATGTTCTAAAATTTGGACTTTGGTCTCTGACTCACCCAGCAGGCTGCCAGGAAGAAAAGGGAATTCTGTGAAAGAGCCCCCAGGCCAGAAGGAGGGCAGTGGGGTGACGGGCTCGCCTCTGTTTTCCTTTGAGCATTACGTCGTTGGTCTTTTCTAACAAAGTAGTAAAATCATGAGATTTGTATTTCATTTCAGTTTTAATTTTAGTGTTGTCTTCTAAAATAGATCAGTTATGTAAGAGAGTAAGAAGAAAAGCATATCTGTTTCCTAATTTGGAAAATGCTTATCACCATCATTGCTTGCGTAGCCCTGCCCTCCCCTCCACACCCCTCCCCCCCACACACGCACCAGAAGGAGACTTTGCCTGAGAGAGTTAGGTAAACTCCTATGAAAGAATAACGTAGCATAGTGCTTTCTTTGGACACCAGTCAGCTGAAGATGAGTATTTGAACCTCTATTTTTTTTAACGTGGGTGAATTTACCATTTGTTTCTTCACATTCTTATCATTAAAAAAGATTGAATTTAAGCTTTAAAGAGCCAAGCAAAATTATGCTCTCTTCCTGATTCATTTCAGTTGGTAACATTCTAGTCTTCATTGAAAACAATAAAGTGTAGTATAACCAGTATGCATCCAGTAGCATATCTACACATAATGCACAAGATGGAAGGGGCTTTAGAGACCACCCCTCATACCCCTCATGTTATATATGTATATGAGAACACTGAGGTTGGAGAAGCTGCTGGGTTAATGGAAGTCATACTGAAGCAGGAATCCAGAGACCATCTTGATGCCTTTAGGTCTGCGAGGAAGCCACCTGGCCATCTCTGAGTGTGGTTTGTCATCTGTAAACCGAGGGAACTGTAACTGGCTCTCAGGTGCTTCTGCCTGTGAATCCAAGCCCTAGGGGTTTGTTTGAATACAATGAGAGGAGGCAGAGAGTCTCCCAGACTCAGGAACACAGCAACATGACACCTGATGAAAATGTAACAGCAGAAGGCGAAGGTTGGAATAGAAGAGGAGGGTATCAGGAAGCACACTTTGTTGATGTGCACCCAGCCCTGTCCAGAGGAGGGGGGACCATTCTGTAGGACAGGGACATTTTCAGTGACTGGACAGGGATCCCCCACACTTCTTCGCCACTACTGTAAATCTGTGAGAGGCTGGAGGAAAGCTGTAAAGGCTGGCGGGGGGGGGGGGGGGGGGGGGCTGGTTATATAACGGGTATTTGTGAGGAAGTTTATATAAGATGCTAAAAATACAGTATATGATTGCTATAATGGTGTTCTAAGTGAAAAGCCCTAATGAGGACAACCTGAGTAGGTTAAATAGAGGTGATGCTGAGTAGATGTCTAAACCCAATTGCCTGCAATGACTATTGTCTAACCAAGTACAGTTTACTACTCATTAGTAAAATATTCTCTATTATCCCAGTGGGGAACACTGCCAGTGTGCTCAAAGGGCATTACCCTTACCAAGAACACCCTTCTTAATTCTTGTTTTCTAACATTCGGAAGAATCTAGAATCTAGAAACACCAAGTATATATGTTATATCCAGCTCCAGATAGAACTGGATAGCTCAAACGTAGCCAGCAATAGCTGAATTTAGTAAGCTTTCATCTATATCAGTTTACATAAACAACTTGCTTCAAAGAATGATTTGGAATTTTATGTGATAAACTTATTTGTGTCTAGCTGAAAAAAATATATAGCCACTTGTATGTACAAGAAAAGTTTGCAACTGCCAAGGTGGTGTGAGTTGAAGGACACTCGGTTGCTTGCAATGAGGCCAAAAACCCCCTTACCCAGAGGGTAGCCACCTGGATTCTGAATACCCATGGGCAAAGTTTTTCCAACTCTGTATGACGAAGGGGTTGTAATATATAATTTCTACAGTCACTTCCAGCTCAGAGAGACTGTAATTTCTGAACACATCCCTGCCTTTTGATAATTTTCGAGTGGAAAACCAAGCAGTTTGGGCCCACATTTGAAATCTTTAGTTTTGTAATTAACCCCCTGTGGGCCCATGGTCCATTCCCGTAGAGGTGGTGTCTGCACATTTGGCCCACTTCTGCCTGGGGTCTGGGTGGGGTCATGAAGTTGGGAAGGTCAGGGTTGCCTGGTGTCCTTGTCCTGCGTGGGCAGCTGTTGGGTGATGAGGACAAAGGGTGAAGTGATGCGCTAGGTCACAATGGGCAGGAGAGGGTTAAAGGCTGCCCAGCAGGGTGATTTAGGTGGAGGCTCTAGAGCAGTGGTTCTCAACCTGTGGGTCACGACCCCTTTGGGGATCGAATGACCTTTTCACAGGGGTCGCCTAAGACCATCGGAAAACAAAAAGATATTTACATTACGATTCGTAACAGTAGCAAAGAAAATAATTTTATGGTTGGAGGTCACCACAACATGAGGAACTGTATTAAGGGGTTGCGACATTAGGAAGGTTGAGAACCGCTGCTCTAGAGAAAGGCAGACACTTGCAGATTGCCATTCAAATGGAGGGATGAAAAAGTGAAGGCTGCAGTGAACTGGGATGAACTGGCGAGTCCCATCAGGGACGCCACTCCCGAGAGAGCCACCCGGCTTTGGTGACTTCGGATGGATGCATTTTGGATCCAAACTCCAAGTTCATTCCCAGCTGGCATGAAAGGGCTGAGTGATGAGTAATCAGTGACCCCATACACTTGCTAGTGGTCCCCACCCTGATACTCTGGAGCAAAAAGGAGACCTGTGCAGATCATGGCTCAGCCATCTGCCAGGGAGACCTGGGGAGGCAGGCGGCCTGCGAGGTGAGGTGCGGTGAGCAGGGGTGGAGGACCCTCTGAGAGCTGTCTGGTTAGGTAGCCATGTGCAGTGAATCCACGTTACCATATTATCCTTTGGAAAGCAGCGTACAGTTAGCACAATGTTTAATACCTCCACGGGAAACTGCAGCGACAACTGTACAGGATGAGTGTGCTGTATGCAAGTGCACACCGATCTTTGAGAACAACTTTATCCAGATCGGCAAAAGAGAAGCGATCTACATACACACCATGTGCAAATGGTGACCTAGAGCCTGGTATCCACCAGGCTAGCCTCGTGGTATCTGATACCATGCTGCTGGCCCAACCAGCTGCATACTATGAGGAGCACACCAGATGTGGCGGAGACACCCAGGAAAACATCATGGGCTTGCAAAGGCCTTGGAGCTATAGCAGCTGAAGCC